AGAAGTCTGAGCTGTGGAAGAACCACACCCAGAGAAGGGAGGGGAGTTTTTACTGCACACAATGCAACGGTGTGTGCCCTTGGAAGACTCTGAGTGGCTCCATTTGGCAGCCAGACCTGATGTTTCCCACCCCTGATGAAACACTCAAGGTTGCACCTCAAGTTATGCAAGTCAAGACTTATACAGGCTTATTTTGACTGTTGGATGAGTTGTGGGCTGAGGAGGTGGCTTCTTCAAGGCCAGCACACACTGAGCCTGGTAGCAGATGTGCCTGTGTCCTCCAAGCCTCCTATGTCTTTTGATCCACTTTCTCCAGGTAGTTCTAATGACCATTCTTCATACCATCCTAGTTTGAAAATGACCTCACTTTCCCCTGTTGGGCGAACGGCGCTGCAGTAAAAAATAAAAAAATAGTAGTAGTATTATCTAATTCCTCCTAATTACTCTGTCAAAATGTAATTAGATTATTCTGTGTGTTGTTATGGGCAAGCTTTGTGAGCCTTGAATGTCAAAGCTATTAGGGAACTAATCTTACCTGACCCAGGAAGAAAGCAGGTGAGGGAGAATGCAGGAAGGTTTTAAAATATGGCACCAGGTGATTAAAGATAATCAATGATTTGCTCTGTTTGCCCACCTTACAAAAAACAAAACTTACAGACCTGCATAAAAAAGCAATAGCCAAATGCATTTTACATCTACCAGGCCACAGGACTGTGATGTTCAGTTCTGGGATGGGGAATCCGGGACCCACCAGATGTTAGATGTCAATTCCCATCAGCCCCAGCCAGCATGGCTCAATGGTCAGGGATGATAGGAGTTGTAGTCCCGCAAAATCTGGAGGGCACAAGGTTGCTGATCCCTAGTTTAGCTGATCAATTGAGTCAACAAAATTGTGATTTTTTTTTTAAAAAGTGTCCCTTAATAACAGGGCAGGACCATGGACAGCAACCTAAGTTGAGTTAGGAGCATTGGAACAAGTCAGGACCAAAGGGACTAAGGAAGATGAAGGCACCAGGATGGGGTGGCTACATGCTTCACTTTAAAGTCCTCTATTTTAATCAGTTGAAACAAAGGTTGAACTTTTTGGCCATGGGCCTGATGAGGCCCCCACTAGGCCTTTTGGGAAAACCTTAGCCACCTATCAGTTCTCAGCGAAGGTTGTTCCACCACCCCAGTCTACCCTCTGCCTGCCTGCCTTTTTCCTGAAACCAGTCCGGGGGGCGGCACTGCCTGTCAGTCTTCCTGTTGCCCTGCTAGAACTCTGCAGGGAGACCCTTCCTGCTCCTGACATTAACTATTTACTTAGCAACATCAGCCTGCTAGGTGCTAGACATGGTCCTTCTTTTAATTAATTAAATTGTCCTTATAGAAATGGCATCCTTCTCTCCTGCAGCAGTTAACCCTTTGCACCATAACCAGCACTTCACATTGCTGACTGAGAGGAAAGGGTGACCATCTGTCCCTTGGCCCAATCAAGATTTGCTCAGCAACCACCCAGGCCTGGCTTAGCTACCTCATAGAGGATGAAAGGGCTGGTGTAAAGGCAGAACATGAAATACAAATCCATCAACACTGATGAAAATAAGCTGGCACAGTACTGATGAGTTCTGAGGTGAGCATACTAGAAATACTTTCACCAAAGAATCTTTCTTGTTGCTAGGCATTGTTCTGAAGATGACCTCGCCTATAGCTGTCTCAGTATAAGTCAGAGGTTTTCTTTATCCTCTTTTTAAACACACACACAGGTTGAATCTTGTGATGATGTATTTTTGAACAGGACTTTGCAAACACTTCCTGAGTTATGACACGTAAAAGTGAAGGAGTCAAAGTTGTGTTGTTGTTTTTTTGTTTTTTGTTTGCTAAAGCATCTTACACCTAGGATGTCTGGGGAAATTCCATGACATCATAGCACTTCAACAAATGGTGGTGGTGGTTTGGGGAAAATGTGCTTGCAGAGAGGGAGCAGGCACCTTTTACTTTGTTTCAGTGAGCTTCATATTATTCTCTGAGATTATGTATGCATGAAGCCTTTGAAACTCACAGCAACTGTTTTCCCCACACTGCATTTTGTATACAGTGGTATCTTGGGATGCGAACGGGATCCATTCCGGAGCCCTGTTCGCATTGCAAATGGAATGCAAGATGACGTAATTTTGACCATCTGCACATGCGTGAGCGGCGAAACCCAGAAGTAACGCGCTCCGTTACTTCCGGGTTGCCACAGAGCGCAACCCGAAAGCGCTCAACCTGAAGCGTATTTATCCCGAGGTATGACTGTATAGTGGTTTGCAATTATACACACCTTTATGCAATGATGTCATCTAAAGCAGAACCTGCTGTCTGGGTATGTGCAGAGAAATAGTAGATCAAGCTGAAAAGCAACACTTGGAGATCTGCACTGATCACTGCAATGTATCCCATATTTACAATGATATTGTTTAATCTTAGAAGGGGACATGGCTATGAGGGCCTGTGGCTGAGACAACCATGGATGGACCCTGCACTTCTGCGTTTGCCACTACACTACTGAAAAAAACACTAACTAGTTTCTTTATATTCCTGTTTCCCACCTACCAAGAAGACAGACATGGGTAACAGCTAGATGCCCAAATATTGAGGGTGGTCAGTGTTATGCATGGACTGTTCCTTCTTCCCTTCTGCTTTTGGTACAATGTGAAACTTGCAGATCACCTAACAAGGCTTCATTTGAACAGACTCCAGACTCAGCTATATGAAACATTTTAAGTGTATTGCAAAGTGCATTACACAAATGTGACACTAGATGGCAATGGTGAGCTATGATAAATTCAATGTATTTTTCAAAACTTTTTTTTAAAAAAAGCATTTTCACAATTTTTTTTTTATATGTGTCTAAATTCCACCTCCATGGTTTCACCACGTCAGCTTTATTCTCACTTCACATGCCTCCTCAACTCTTGCTCGTTTTACCACTTAGCTTGATGAAGAGCTAGGTTGAACTCAGAAGCTTGCACACTATTTTGTGACATTTTCATTAGCCAAATAAAGGTGCCGCTCTTATATGGATTTTTTGTTTGTTTGTTTCTTTTGCCCTTATGGACCAGCACAGCTACCTTCACTTTTAGTGTTTTGCCTGTTATTTTCAGACTCTAGGCTCCCTGTTGCCCATACTGTACGTGCCCACATGTGTCAAGCTCTTTGATATTCCAAGCAGCAGGAACTCAAGGGTTCTTCATCTTGTGATATAACACAATTCTTCTTCATAAACTTTATTGCACTAGCCAAAGGCCATGGCATCATTCACAAAGGGAACAACAACAAAAAAGCAACAATAACCATAAAAACCATAAAAACATCAGGCACTGCAAATACAATAAACCACAGTCGTGTCTCCTAGAAATTATTTGTTGCATACGATAGAATAGCAGGGGGTTCTCAGGTAGAATGTGCCAGCTTAAAGGTCCAAATCACCTTTGCAATTGACCACTATTTTATCTAGTTCTTTTTTCCTGATCTTCTTAGCTGCCAACGCATATAATGCTACTTTATAAGTTACGAAGTCATCAGTATCACTCAGCAGCCATTTCACCCTTTCTGCCCTGTTCGTGTTCCATTCGTAAGCAGGGGTTTTATAAATGGGTCTCTTGGTCTCTTGGTTCTATATATAGTGGGCATTGCAATAAATAGTGGTACAGGTCCTCTACGCAAGGTTGCCCACACAGACCAAGTCTCTCCTTGTACTGTACATTGCCGTACAGACCACCCACCACCTCTGTGGGCATCGATAACATAATTCCATTACAGCAACAGTGCCCTCTGTTGTTTTTTTCCTGCAAGCCTGAAATAAGTGCCAGAAACATATTTTGGCCCCTCCTTTCCAGGGCATCTTCTATTCCTCCCTGACCCCCACCCGCCCACAAACCAAAAACAGTGAGGGATGTGCACCCACCACAAGCCACAGTGTTCTGTGAAACCTAGACATAGAGAGAGGACAGTTTAGTTGCTTAGGAATATCTGCAAGCTTATTAGGCTACACAGACTTGAAGGCTTAATTCGAAAGCTATATTTTGGGCAAAACAAGCTGCAATGCAATTAACAAAGCAATTGCTACACACACCCACACCCCAACCTAGAATTATTTTTGTAACTACAAAATAAAACTATCAAGTCTACATAGCATCTCTTGTTTTTCTTCTTCGCCATGTTTTGCTCTGAACGCCGTGTTTTCCCAGAACATTTTGAAAATCTGAATTGTGAGGACAGGGTGCCTTTCTCCTCATCCCAAGCCTAGATTAAATTCTAACACTTACTGGATCTAGGAATTTATAGAGGTCTACATCCCCAAACTCATAACAATATTGTAATGTTAAATAATATTACACCACTGTTTGTGGTTCAGTGGTTACATTTCCTTGCTTATTTCAAACTCTACTTGGATGCTCATTGTTCAAAACTTTGAAATCTGCCTTCCTACCCATCTCCTCCTCCTTTTCATATTTCATTAAAGCCTGCTGATCTAGCAAGAACCGCAATGCTGCTCTTGTGGTTTTAGGGATTTCTTCCATTCTTTAGCTATAGAAAAATTATGTTGTTGCCAATAAGCCCTAAATCTTTGTTGACCCATTCTTGGCTTTTTATATTCTCAAAAATAGGAGGAAACCAGCACCAGCCATTCTTAAAGTTAAACTTCAGCATTCAGCATATTGGATTTGGGACCTGGAGAGCTTAGGTTCCACAACCTTTGAGCCGCCTGCTGTGAGGCTCAGTGTGACTGTACATATTGCTCCAGGTTCAAGCGCAGATCAGAACATCATGTATTCTGTGCTCTCATTTTGTATTTTTATGTTGCCAACTACCCTGTGATCTTTGGATGAAGGTTGTATAGTTAGGGGGCATCCAGCTGTCTCGAGAGGAAGCTGTATACAAATTTAATTAATTAGTAAATAATAAATATTTTCTACACTGATTGGCAGTAGCTTTCCAAGGATTTCAGGCAGGGCATCTCTCCCAGTCCTCCCTGGTGAGGCCATTGGGTATTGGACCTAGGACCTTCCGCAAGCCAATCAGATGCTCTACCACTGAGCTGTGGCCTTTCCAGGGCCAGCATCCTGTGTACCCAGCATTAATTGGTCTGGGGTCCCTTTCGGGTGCTCACAAGCAAGGTGTGGGTCTTCTGCTACCCAAAGAAGGGAGCAGGGAGAGGCTTTCTGAAGGCCCCTTCTGCAGGCCCACACCATTTTCAACAACAGCGTGAGGCCCCCAGACCACCACCCTCAATATCAGGACTCCCACATCCAGCAGGATTTCAGATGGAGGGTTCTGAGTCCTGCCTGGAAATGCCTGGGATTGAACCCAAAGCAAATGCTCAACTACAACATTGCTCCACAACTGCAACTGCTCCACAGCTCCCTCTGTTCTTAGACCTTAGCTGACTACGGCGTAGGGATCATTTTTAGACAACTTCTCAGAACATCTGCAAGCCAGTTCCCTGATTTTCCCTTGTGGCTAAGGGCCATCATCAGGACTTTAATGGCACAGACTGCTTTGCTGAAGCAATAATCTCTCTCACCTGAATTGAAATTGATTCACTTAAGCTCTATAGGTTTTCCATCAGAGAGCATTTAGCTTACTGTGTCAAAAACCCTATCTCCCCTCTTCTTGCTTTGCCTTCATGGCCGATGGAGGGACTCACAGATAGTGTTGCAAAACAGCAGGTGGAATCTTGTTAGCATCACAGCAACAAGATCCTCTGTGATGCATCTTGAGGCCAATGCATTTATAAATACTCTCTTGTCTGAATAGCTGTGGCACCCAGATGTTGCCAGAATCTAGCTCCCAGTAGCCAGCATGGCCAGTGGTCAGAGATTATGGGAGTTGTAGTTCAGCAGCCTGGAGAACCACAGTTTCCCCGCAGCTGCTCTACACATTTATTCACTGGGAGTGAGTTTCCTTGAGCACAGTGGATCTTACTTGGCAAGCACAGGATTGTGCAGCAAATCTTCCTACTTGTGAAAAGAGACACATGCACCCAGCTCTGCAAGATCAGAAGGTGCTCTGGTCTGAGTAGCTTTGGGGGTGGACATCAATGCCACTGCTGTTCACCTGTGACCAGTAGTCAGAGGCCTGCTACCTTCATGCTCCATCATAACTACTTGACTTATTTTCCCAAGAATTTGTCAAATCCAGCCCTATCATTAGACAGAGTGAGGCAATTGCAGCAGGACAGGGTTTTTTCTGCTTCTTTTTAGGTTGAGCATAAGCTCTAATCACTTAATATAAAAGGTGGAAAGAAGGGTGTGCACCCAATAACCATAATGAAACGTTAGCTGTATTTATAAATCACTGGAATTCAAAATTTCAAGAAATGTCTTAGTTTCATGCTTATGATTGCAATAGCATGTTCATCTGCTGCTTATTTAGGATTCGGAGCTACATAGTTATTTGTCTCTCCCCACCCTCCTTATTATCTTTCTTTATCCTTTTTCTTTTTTCCTTTTATCTTCATGTTCTGTGTCTTGGCTTTGTGTTTATTCCTTTCTCCCCCCTCCCCATCTCTGAGTAGGGGCTGCTTTATAATTAGGGGGTTCACATTGATATCCTGTTGGTCTTACGTTATTATGTTCCTATCCCATCCAGAGTTTTAGATTTAAATGCATCTTATATGTGGTTTATGTCACAAGTGGTAAATTTTTCTGCATTTTTCTAAGCAGAAAGGAAAGGAAGGTGTTATGTACTAGGCCAGCAGGGGGTACTGTAGATAGTTATGCAAATAAGGGATCGAAAGTTCAGTGATTGGATAGTTTTAGAAAGTTGTTAGAATTATGTGTACTGGAGCTCTATATAAGCAGGCTGACTGAACCCTTCAGTTCTGTTCTGTTCTGGCCTCTGAATAAACAAGAGCTGTTTGAAGAATCGCTGTGTCGTCTGATATGTTCACCCACAACTTAACACTGGCGACGAGGATGGGATCGATGGACATCAGAGCACAGCCAGATGCGGCCACCCTCTGAGCTGAGCTAAATCACTGAGCTGAAACACTGAGCGAAATCACTGAACAGAACCAATTCAGAGCTGGCTAGAGCACTGTGTTCATCCATCGCTCTCCATGCTGGCATCGGAATCATGGGTTCACTTGTGCCTCTACCGCCGTTTGCGCCAGCCTCTGAATCATGGGACTGCTACCTCGCTCGGTTCGACTGCTACCTCCAAGCCAATGAGCTGACAGAAGTATCACAGGAGCGGAAGCGGGGCCTATTCCTCAGCCTCTGTGGGCCTGAGGTGTTTGAGACGGCCCGAGCATTGCTTGCACCTGAAGCAGTCCAGGCAGCACCGTGGGACACGATTCAAGAGAAGCTCTGCAACCACTACGCGCCAAAGCTGTGCGTTCTACCACCGGAACCAGGCAGAGGGGGAGTTAATTAACAACTACACTGCCGCCCTCCGACAGTCTGCAATGCACTGCGAGTTCCAAGACTTAGACGATGCCCTGATGGATCGAATTGTCTGTGGGGTCCGGGACATCCGTCTGCAACGGCGTCTCCTCGCCAGGCCAGACCTCACGCTGCAGAAAGCCATTGAGGAGGCCGTGGCCTTGGAAGCTGCTGAACGCTCCGCCCAGGAGATCCGCAAGGCCAGCAGCCCGCGTCTTGCTAGGAAGCCAGTTCCAGTGCATCACGAAGAGGCCAGCAGTGATGAGGCATTCTCCAGTGAAGACGATGACGTGCACCAGACAAAGCGGGAGCGCAGGAAGTTCCAACAGAAGTCCAAGGGCCAATCGGAATGTGCCGGCTGCAGAGGCAACCATTCCCGTGCCAAGTGTCAATTCAGAGATGCCATCTGTCGGAAATGTTCCAGAAGGGGCCACATCACTAAGGTCTGCCAATCGGCTCCGTCCGACACCTCCCCCACGACTCGCAAGTCCAAGTCTTCACTCCAGTCCGCCAAGGAAAGCTGTTTCGCTCTCACCAACTGCTACTGCCCATCTGGAACCAGGATTGGCCAAACCGACTCGCCTACTCGACGCAAGCTGAACGTCACAGTGCTCATTGAAGGAGCTCCATGTGACATGGAGATCGACAGCAGGTCTGCCCTGTCCATCGTGTCTTGGAGCACCATCAAAAGACTGGTACCCCAAGTGTCTAAAAGGCAACTTGACTCTCACCGCGTACACCTGAGAGACTACCAGGGAAATGACATTCCCGTGGTAGGCATTGGCCGGTTCCAGATCGCCTTCAAGGATTTTTCAGGCCTGCTCCGACTGGTGGTGGTCGAAGATCAGCAGCCAAGCCTCCTAGGGCTAGACTGGTTTGATGCCCTCAGCCTGGAAGTCACCGGCATCAACTGCATCTCTAACACAGAGACTGAGGGTCTGGTCAAAGACTTTGCTGAGGTTTTGACGGCACTTTAGGGCAATATACTGGTAGGCCCATCTCCTTTAGCCTTGATCCACAAGTTGCCCCCATCAAGCTAAAGCCACACCGGGTTCCCTTTGCTCTCAAGGCTAAGGTGGACGAACAACTGGACAAGCTGACCGCCCAAGGAGTTGTTTTTTTTTAAAAAAAAAATATTTATTAAAGGTTTCAGAATTACAGAAACAAAAAGAAAAAAATTAAAAACAACACTACAATACATAAAAAGGAAGAAAAAAAAGCAAAACACAAAAACCAATGCAACAATACAGCAAAAAGATACAAAAAGAAAAAAAAAAACACAAATCCCATATTACATATCTTTAACTTCCATTTGCTTGTTTCATTGACCTCCTCACACCTCCCTTTTTGTATTCTAATTTGATTAGTTATTATTAGTTATTTCAGCAAATTCTTTCCATCTTTCTCAATTTTCATTAAATAATTTATCTTAACAATTTAACCTATTAATTAACTCAACAAATCCTTTCCATCTTTTCCCCATGTTCTGTTATTCAAATTACCTTAGTTTATTTAACCTTATCTTACCGTAAAATACTTTAGAGCTTAAAGCTTAATACTCGATTATACATAACTCCTGATATCATTTCTACTAGAGTCATATAGTTTCATTCCAACATTTTCCCTAATATTCATTAATTTTAGGCCAATTCCCTAGAAAAAATTTTTTTTTTCTTTATCAATTTTCTTCCAGTCTTCATCCTAATGTCTCTTCTTCTTGGACTTGGGTCGTGTCAGTCCTTACTGTCCATTCCATCTAGTCCATCAACCTGGTAATCTTATGTCCGAGGCCCTTAAGTCTCTTCCATGTCCCTTCTGCAGATCTTCTTCTTCTTGTTTCTACTTGCCCTTTTCCTTGTCTTTTGTTGGTCTCTTTCTTAATTTATTTCCTTTCTTATTGAGGAGTAGGTCTCTGGGGGATTCCAACCCAAAATTATCTCTGTCTCCCTTCATCAAACCCGCCCGTTCCCCACAGTCCCACTCCCCACAGTCATCAATGTAATCCAGAAAGTATTTAAAAGCATATTTCAAGGTCTCTCCAAAGTTAAGAACCTCCTCAGCTCCAGACTCCCCCTGGCCCACTCCAACTTCAATCTTCAATGACAGCGGCTTATGCTCCTGTAGGGCCTCGGGTCTCTCCATTTGTATTATTTGAGGTGCAACCGCATCCTCCTCCATTATCTTCTGCACTTGCCCAGTCAGTACAGGTTCATGAGTTGGTCCCTGAATGGTTTCTGTATCAGTATTCCCTGTTTGTCCACAGTTATTAACCACAACAGTCATCAAGTCCATTTTCTCATTCATCAAATCCATCTTCTCATGCATCTGTTCCAGCAAGGCACTTGTCTTGCATAAAGCAAGCACCCAAACTTCCTCCCAGCTCATATTTAGTCAAGGTCAGAAAAGACTGGTCCCACGATCTTAATCTCACAGCTGTTGAGTCCTCAAGTAGACTGCAGCAACAATTTAACAAGCTCCCTCTAGAGGAGACAATTTCTATTTGTATACATTTTTTTAAGGCAAGTCCAGCAAAGGAAAATTACTTTCATTTTTCAGATATTTTGTTTCTTTAGAATGCAAAAGGCAACATTGAAATCAGTTTATTTCTCTTCTTTAGCTATCTGTCAAAGTATTCCATTCACAGTCAATGAACCTCTCCAACTGTTTCTGTCTCTGACACCCCGTTCCCAGGTTAGAGACGGTGGAAACTTATCTTTCTTCACTCCCTCTCCTGCAGGGGTTAAACAAAGTCCCCCCCTTTCTCCTGCTTCCAAGGGGGTTTCAGTAGTTATAAATGAAGGAAATTTAGACTTTTTTAACGACTTTCCAGGCTTTAGTTTACAAGGTTTTTGCTTTAGTCTAAATACAAAAAGCGGAAGGCGGACTTCCTGTTTTGAACCTTCCCGCTTCGATGTCAAATTAAGATATTTATTGATCCAATTTTCTGTTTCTACTCACGGGTACTTGTTTTAAGTCGAATTGTCCACAGGAAAAAGTCAGCGCTCTCCGGCGATGGCTGTGCGGCTTCACTCTGTGAAAGTAGCAATCAGTTTGCAGCACCGCGCCGCTCACCCCACTTCGCTCCGGAGCCCCAAAATGGGGTTCCCGGTGAGTAGGGGGGGGTGCTCCTGGTGCCCGCCCAAGGAGTTTTGGAGCCAGTTGACCACGCCAAGTGGGAAACCCCCATCGTCACGCCTGTCAAGCTGGACGGGTCGGTGAGAATCTGCACCGACTACAAGTGCACGATCAACAAGGCACTTCAGCAGCACGCTTACCCGGTTCCTGTTGTTCAACACCTGCTGCATTCCCTGGGTGAGGGTAAGGTCTTTGCTAAGCTGGACCTTGCCCAAGCCTATCACCAACTGCCCGTCGATGATGCCACTGCTGAAGCCCAGACGATTGTCACCCACCGAGGGGCATTCCGTTGCCACCAGTTGCAGTTCGGGGTGAGTGTGGCTCCTGGCGTCTTCCAAAGCCTTATGGAGCATCTCCTGCAAGGGCTTCCATGCGTGGTACCATATTTTGATGACGTCTTGGTGTCCACAGACTCACACCAGCAGCTGTTCGAGCGCCTCCGTGCCGTGCTGACCAGGTTCCAGGAGGCCGGGCTCAAGGTAAAGAGGGAGAAGTGCCAGATCGCCGTTCCACAGGTGGAGTTCCTGGGCTATCTTATTGACGCCTCCGGCCTTCACCCGACCACATCCAAGATCCGCGCTATCCAGCAGGCCCCCATCCCAAATAACAAGACGGAGTTGCAGGCGTTCCTGGGACTGCTGAACTTTTATAACATGTTCCTGCCCCACAAAGCCATGGTGGCTGAGCCTCTTCACCGACTCCTCAGCAAGAAGACACCTTGGTCCTGGGGTCAACGCGGTCAAGGCTCTTCTTTCATCGAAGAGTGGGCTGGTACAGTACAGTGAAGACAGGCCGCTGGTCCTTGCCTGCAACGCCTCACCTTTTGGCATCGGTGCTGTCCTTAGTCACCGTTTTCCAGACAGAAGAGAAGCACCTCTCGCCTACTTTTCCAGGATGCTATCTCCAACGGAACAGAATTACAGCCAGCTCAACAAGGAGGCACTGGCACTTGTGGCTGGAATGATGAGGTTCCACAAACCTCTTCACTCTACGGTAGGACTTTTGACCTCATCACCGACCACAAGCCGCTCCTGGGCCTCCTCGCCGGTGATCGTCCAACTCCACTGGTCCTCTCGCCACACATGCTGTGATGGATTGTTTTCCTGACTGCCTACCACTACCGGCTCGTCCATCGCCCGGGAAAATCGATGGGCCATGCCGATGCCCTCAGCCGTTGCCCTCTTCTAGCGTTTGGGACCATCGGCTGTGGGGAGGACTGCAGGGCCTGCTCCCTTCCAGGGCCTTTCCAACTGGCCCAGGGGGCGTGGCCCAGGCCCTTATTTGGAACAAACTTTTGGGGAAGTTGGGAAGTGTTCTGCCATGGCTTCCCTGTTCCAAGTGGTTAATGTGTTTTAAAATGCCCTCAAGCAGCCGGTGGCAATTTAAATTTTTATTTCTTTAATTCATTTTTCCCTTTGTTGGGGGTGGGTGGGATGGATATTTGGTTGGGGATTAATTTTAGTATAATTGCTTTGTTTTTGGTTTTTGTTGTTTTATTGGTTCTGTATAGTTTGTGTTTTGTTTTTAAGGGGCGGGATCAGGGCTGCCTGGGAGTGGGGCCCCAGCCAACACAATGGCTGGGACAAGTTCCATGGGGGGGGGGAAGCACTGGGACATCCGATCTCGGTGATCATGGGCAGGAGGAGGAGTTACGCTAAGACCAGACCATGTCATTACCGAGGAGGCAGGTTTAGTCGTTGTTTGAAGACTATCCCTGCCTCCGGGTCTGGCCTTGACCGGATGGATACCTTAATCAACAGGGGAAACCCACATGACCTGAAGGTGTTGCTGTGTAATGCCAGGTCAATGATGAATAAAACCACTGCCATCCACGACCTGATTGTGGATGGAGGATTTGACCTGGCATGTGTGACAGAGACCTGGTTGGAGGAAGCAGATGGGCCTGTCCTTGCCGCTGCTTGCCCACCAGGTTTCTCTTACGCACAGCAACCCAGGTCATGTGGGCGGGGAGGGGGGGTTGCAGTGGTTTTTAGGAAGTCATTAGCTTGCATCAGGCGTCCTATTGGGAAGACCCAGTTTTCTGAGTGCATGTTCTGGAAGTTGGGCAATAGGGGCAGTACAGGATTCCTTTTGGTGTACCGGTACCTCCCCGCTGCACCAAGGATTCCCTCTCCGAGCTGCTTCAGGTTGTGGTGGATGTTCTCCTGGAGACACCTAGTTTGGTTGTCCTAGGGGATTTTAACATCCATGCCGACACAACCTTACAAGGACCCGCTCGGGACTTCGTGGAAAGCATGGCCTCCATGGGGCTGTCCCTGAATAAGTTGGGCCCAACTCAGTCATGGACATGCCTTAGACCTGGTATTCACCTCTAGTGACGTGGGTGGTCTGACACTAAGTAAAAGTGAAACAAAAGAAGTGCCATGGTCGGATCACTTCCTGGTGCAACTGGACTTCTCCGCGACTCTTCCCCTCTGCAGGGAGGTGGGACCAATTCGGATGGTCTGCCCCCGCCACTTAATGGATGCAAATGGTTTCCAGAGAGTGGTAGGGGATGCTTTATCCCATGTTTATGGCCTTTCAGCTGATTCCCTGGTGGCCCGCTGGAATGCGGAGTTAACCAGGGCTATCGACTGTCTGGCTCCGAAGCGCCCTCTCTGATTGCATGGAGCCCGGACAGCCCCGTGGTTTTCTTCGGAGTTGAGGGCAATGAAACAATTGCTGAGACGGCTAGAGCGTCGGTGGCAGAAAACTCATTCCGAATCTGACCGGACACAGGTTAGAGCTCAACGTCGAGCCTACCAAGTGGCGATAGCGACGGCGAAGAAGACTTTCTTCATCGCCTCTATTGCATCTGCAGAAAATAGTAGCAGGAGACTCT